GCACGGCGAACGCTGACATGTATCCTTCCATAGCAATGTCACTGTCACTGAGGAGCGTTTAAGTCCACGGCAGATGAGCTTCGTCTCATTGTCTTCATCTGCATACAAATGAAGCTCTCTCCCTATGATTTCGGTATGGATAACTACTTGAGACGGGTTACACAACACATTTGTCTCACATTTGTCTATTGCTACTCAACATGGATAACTACTCCTCGCTCTGGCCCGTGTGAGAAGTTACACGGCTGAACCGCGCTCGGTCGCTCGCCGGGGCCGCGCCGGCCGCGGCGGCTGTGACCTTTGTGTCAGTCAGGCGCCATGCCGCGGGCCGCGGCCGCTCCGAGTGCGGGCCATATCCTGTCATACATAATGGAATGTCGAGAGGAGGCACCGGTGGCCGGGGCGCCCCACTGACGGAACTGCTCTGCAGCTCGGCTCGGCGCTACCGCCGCTCCCCAAATGGATGCGCCGTCGTTCCCGCCGCTCCATCGTGAGCAATTGAACGTTAAAGTGACAGGTAAAGTGGCAGAGAGCGAGCAGTTGTGGTGAACTGTCGGCTTTCCAGAGTCGGATGCTTCTATTCCCGTGGCAGTTGGCAGGAGTGATAGCATTCTCAGTTTCCAGTCATGTCTGGTATGTTGCTCATCATGGGACGTCCTTCTGGTTACAAAAGAAAATCTAAAACAGTGATATGAAATAACCAGAATCTCATACAAGCTTTAGTATTTTTAGTTTTATGAAATTAGATTTCTATGTTAACTTTCACTCGCTCTTGAGGTTCATCCGGTCTTTGTTTTTATGATTTCAGGAGAACGTATCCCATACGAGTGCCGTTGCATGTGGTTTTAGCACTTGCAAGTTCAGCTGCTTGAACGGCTAATTGCCGCTTAAAACATGCTTGTTCAGCACAACAGTGAATTGATTCGTTCCAGTGATCCAGGGTTCGTATAGGTTCTATGTACACTCGACATTATGTCATATTGATCAATTAACTATATGTGTGACATTATATACATTTCACAGCAGCCCATCTCCATCCCCTTTGCTGTAAATACGACCGTTGTTGCGGCCTTTGTTTTGATGCTTAGATCAACGAATTTTCCTAGATTTTCACACAGGAAAACTATTTTCCTGAAATAAAGCATCATGCCTTAGGTATTTGGTAACTACATGTTTTATAAGCACGCATGCAGCAGATGTGTTAGATGAAGTTATCATATCTTGCAAAGCTCAATAACGGTCTTCATTGGCAGCGCAACTAAATTAGGGATCTCTTTGTGTGTCGAGACTTACGAAGGACTTGGAGGATGAGAGGAAACGACACTGTGAAGGGTTCTTTGGACAATGAAAATAAATAGGCCGAGGTGGATAAGTAAAAGAATAGGGGAATCAACGGGATTCTGGATATTTTGTAGGCCGATTGTGGACATTTTTTGTTGCCAAAGCTTGAATGAGAGTGATTACTTATCCGAGTAATTAAACTTTTTCCGGAATCCGGATCGTGATGGGCGGGAGATATTCTTTCCCCGCGGGTGTTGTGGTTGGACTGTCATGAGAGCCGATCCGCCCCTCCCTCGCCCCGACTCAGCAGTGCCATTTGTTTGTAATTGCACTCCGTTCGCCGGCGATGACACGGCCGTTATTTCCACTCGGACGGCAACAGCGGGTTCAACAGTGTGACGTCACAACTTTCACAAGGTCACCGGACGCCCAGACACGCGGCACGCCCCCGTCGCGTGGCGGTCGCGGCGGCTGTTGTGGTGTGACGTCACACGGTGGCCCGGGGCGGAGCCGTGACGTCATGACCGGCCGAGCGGCCAGCGACAGGCTCTCGTGGAACTGGTATGACGACATAGGGCGGGCTGTGGCGTACTACGACGTAACAGAGCCGTACTCCAAATACCTGGCGCGTAGTAGTGAGAGTCGCTGCTCTGCTGTGATGGGTTTCGGTATACAGGAGTTTTTAATTACTTTAATACGCAGCTGTGTGAGTAATGGCCTTACTCAGATATTTTAATATAACTTTATACCAGTCAAAAAAAGCCAAAGAATTGACACTCTAATCCAATAGAAGACTCAGCTCCTTCAGAACCTTTCTACGTCAGGTGAAATTGCGCGATAGGCCATCAGGCGGACGGTCAAGGTGAGCCGCGTTTAACTTGATTAAGCAATACGGATCCTTCAATGCTCGATTTTTTAACACTCTTTCTTCTCTATATACAATGACAATCGCTCGGTAGACAATCAATCGGTATAGATCCCAACCGTGGCGAGTCTAAAACACAATTAGTATGTCGTAGGATCGGACCACATCGGCTCGACTGCTGTTAGACGGCCGCGGGGCCAAGAGTTCCCTTGTTCTCTTGCTTTTGAAGTTATTTTAGACGTATCGAGACGAACGAGTAAAATTTTAGAAGACAGATCACGTTTATGATGTACAAAGTCAAAGAGCCACTAGCTGAGCATCCGAGAACGTCAGTTGCAACTTGCAATTCCTCTCATCATAGACCTGTGTAAGCCGAGATGAGCAAAGGTCTATGATTTCATTCATTATCAAATAGCATTGCCCTCACCGCACTGCCCAAACAACCCACTATTATATAATTGGCTGGTTACACAGTACACACAAAGCTGGAGGTAAGTACATGAACCGGTTCCAAGTTTGTGACGCACCGAATTCCGTGTGACGTCAGACTAACCAGTTTCGCCCAGCGATAGGATAACGGCTGGCGGAACCGGTTCGGTCTATCGCCTCGGTAAATCTGGATGACGTCAGCCGTCGCCGCCTTGGAAACGCGTCGCGCCACTTCACCGTGGTGGCTGGGTGTAGTTCGGACTAGCGGAGCGCGATGTGACGTAGCGGGCGGAGGAAACATGTGACGTCATTCAGTGGTTCTCAAACCTCAGAACATGCCAGTCATGTAGGTAGTGCAGCCGACGCAATGGTCCGTGGCTAATCTGTCTACCAACATTGATTGCAACATCGTGTTGAAACAAAACGGGTGTAAACAGTTGGAAATAAAAAAGATGTACGACGTAGAATAAAGCTGACGCTTTTTCAGGGCCTCGTCTAACATGTTAATTGGAGGGGGGCAAACCCCCGCAGTCACCGGCCTGCCGCCCCCCCCTGCAGTCAGGGTAAAAATGTCACGACTGGGGGGGGGGGGCGGCAAAAGCGAAAAGGCAAATGAATTTTTACTGCAAGGCGTCAGTGCACATAAAAACAAATGCGTATAAACGAAACATGGATGCAATGCAGAGCACAGAGATATACCCGATTACCTCTGACTGTTTTCACGTGTTTATTTTGTTTACCTGATACCATTGTTTTTTTTTTCTTCGCTCAGCAATCCGTTACATTTCGGGTTTTCAGGCGACCCAAATCCGGGTGTCCCGCATATTCTCTTTCTCGTATTCTCCTGTTGTTTCTGTGCTCGAGGCGTCAATCTGTTGTTCCTACCTTTCGTCGTCCTCACTACGCGACGTCGAACTTCTGGCTGGACGGTCACCGGTGTGCGGCAAGAGAAGCTCCTAATCGTAATGAAGCAGGCTCCCATTCTGGGTAATCGTAAGCTCATGTTGGTGGTCTGTCTCTGGGGACGGGAAAGACTAGTGTGGGCTAACAGAGGCCGACGTGGGTCCAGATTCCAGAAGCTGGCACTGGCCATCAGAGCTCGGCACCTGACGCTCATATGCCGTTGGGGCCCGTTAGAAACCGATGTGGTTCGCAAAAAAGATATGCGTTCGTAATAAATTGCTAAGATAAGGTCAATGTTCAAGTCATTTGAGGGCATTAATTGTTCATTTCGCTCGATTATTCTAAGAAAATATTTGGTTTCAACGTTTTAATTCTACCTTGCACGAACAGAGGAGCAGAAGCGCATACAAATAAGTGATGGCTCCCTTATGGCCATAACGGGAGCAAGATTCTTAGATAAATGGAAATAAGTCGTTAAATTTGAACTCCGATGAACAGTAAAGCATTCATTAGAGGCTGAAATCGTAAACAAATAACCTACTTAAAAAGGTGTAGCGGGTCCAAAAACTAAGGTTTCATTCTTTGTTTTGCTTATTTCTGTCTGGTGGGCCAATGTGAGGGGGTTATAAACTAATGCAAAGGCATGGGTCGGATGTTCTACTATTTTTATTTATCTAGTGTTAAAAAAGTTCATCAGGTTTCCGGGCTGTGATGCAAAATCAGTGGCCTAGATCCGGTGAGAAAACAGGATTTGGGGGTAACCTAGGTTTGGCTCCCTGAGTCCCTGCCCCCCCCCCCCCCGGAAAATCTCTTAGACGAGGCCCTGCGCTTTTTGCAGCTCACGAAGTGTGTATGAAGTTTGAATGACTTTCCCTGCGTGGTGTCCCTTGACCGTTTATTTAGTCTGACCACGACGCGAGGAAAAGGAGACACTAGATGCGACATGATGATGCGACGCCATTCTCAATTTTTTCCGTCTAATTTATGCATATGAATTGACATTGCACGTCGAACGGGAGACCGATGTTATTAGACTATCAGTAGGTTATTTGAGTTATTTCTCCTGCAAATTTCGGCATTGGCAATAATAATTTCAACCGCACTTCTCAACAGCTGTCGAAATATTGCGCTGCCCAGCGATTCATCTCTCCCACATCTCGAAGACGGAGAATGTCTCAGCTGATCGAGTACAATAAATTACGTACGGCGGTGCCATCGGTCGTGTCAGACATCCCCGGTGTGTGGGCGGCGGGGAGGGGGGGAGGAGGGCATGTCCTCCCCCTGGACGACTGAGCCGACACAGAATGGATGGGACACGCGCCAGACTGTCGACAACAAATCTCCCCACGACAGACGCGGCGGGCCAGTCCGATCCAGGGCAGCGGGGCAAACGGGACGGCTGGAATGCAGATTGCAAAGCCCATTACCACATAACTAACATATGATAAAACTTCGTGATTTTCTCAAAGGTACTAATTATGCAGTGTTAGTTGTTTGACATTTTATTTCTCTCTTTTTGCAGGTTAACATACTTTTCCTTCTCAACATTCTGCGCATTCTGATAAAGAAATTAAGAGGCCCTCAAGCCCAGGAAAGTCCACGAGAGACAGCAAAGGTCAAGTAAGTGCCGACAAGTTCCGTCGTGCTGCGTGCTGATAATTGTGTGGTGCATTCTCACAGAAATGGCAATTGGCATAACAAGCAAGGGCCTTCCGAAAGGGGAAACCGTAAACACCATAGCTATCACTATCTGTATGACACAGTAAATCCATTCAGTGCCCGTTAAGTGCATGGCAGTTGCAATACGGCAATGGCTTCTTTGTTACACGAGACGTTTAAAAATAAATAGCAATGTTTAGCTCAGGGTAATGTGCTTTGTCCGCCTTGATTTGCTTCGCATTATCAAATGGTGTCATAGTTATTGGCTTCGGGCGGCATTTATAAATAACAACAGCTAAAAATCATAACTCTTTTACAATCAGGCCCACGCGAACCTAGAAGGACAAAGCTCAATGCGGCATTTAATTCCAGACTATAGACCCCGTTCCTTTACCCAAAGACCAACAATAAAGATACAAAAGAACACAAAAGAACCACAATGCAGGTACTGTGATTACCGTTAGCCGGTGATCATTACTGCATTACTGCTGAGCGGCCTGGCAGCAGTTATTTATCTCTCTGACCGGTTACGGACGGCGCTGGGTGGTCAGTCGATCGCCCGAGGGTACCGGCAGCCTCTGATGGACATCGGCGAATTTGGGGAGCTTCAGCCGCCGGGGACTGTATACGAGTATACGGGACTCCCCCCACGACTGTGCTAGCCCCCCCCCCCCCTCCCCGGCCGGTGCCCGGGCCGTACCCGCCGGCGACTGTCCGGGACAAGTGCCACGCCCGCCGGCGACTGTCCCCCCTCCCCCCCTCGACTGTCCGCGCCGCGCCCTCCGGCAGTGATAGCGTCTGTCGAAAACCGATCGGCCAGTGGCTACTCCTGATATACGACAATTGGGTGGCTCCTGGTCATTGAACCTTACCAGCAGTGGTCGACGAGTAGGCTTTGATCGCAGAATTGGCAGTAAAGAAGGGACAACGGATGGGATGACGGAACATGATTAGAATGAGGATGAGCCTTCAGACCCCGATAATTGCGTTGTTTGAGATATTCGGGCAAAAACGGCACAGCTGTGACGAACTGTGTAATAGCACTGCATCGCCTATCTTCTGTGAACACTGAGCAGTGAGCATTCATATGCTGATCAGGTATTTTCTGACACAAAAACTGGATCAATGACTGATACCTATCAGTGAGCACTGAGCTTAGATTAGATGCAAATAGTTTCGCTAATCAATTTCCAGACATTCTGGGATATATTCCTTTCTATAAGTACGAAGAAAGGCATCCCCTCCCTCCCTCCCTCCCTCTCTCTCTCTCTCTCTCTCTCTCTCTCTCTCTCTCTCTCTCTCTCTCTCTCTCTCGCGCGCGCGCGCGCGCGCTCTCTCTATTTTTATCACCCTCCTCTCCCTCCCTCGCTGACGTGTCTCTCCCTCCCTCCGCTGACGTGTCTCTCCCTCCCTCGCTGACGTGCCTGCCCCTGTGACAACCACCCAGGAAGTCTGTGCGCGCCGCGCTGGTGCTCCTGCCCCTGCTGGGCATCACCAACTCCTTCAACATGATGACGTCGCCGGTGCACCGGTCGCCACTCGAGTTCGGCCTCTGGAGCTACAGCACCACCTTCCTGCGCTCCTGCCAGGGACTCTTCGTCTGCTGCATCTACTGCTTCTTCAATGATGAGGTAAGCGATATTTTAATTTTTTACGATGCTGGCGCAGATTATTGACTACTCAATTTATACTTACAAAACGTACGGCAACTTTATCGGAGAATTATGGTTGTGACTTGTGACTAAACAAATTCGGCAACTAGCTGAAGTTTTCATCCCGTCCTATATCAAGAGCCAAAAGATAGGTAGGTAATAGGTATAGCCAAGGTCTTACGCTTTCGAATGCCGCTTTCCGTGTGTCGCTTGGTGGCCCAGCAGCCGAGTTACACTTGGGTGTTCAAACACTCCCCCGGTCCGGCGCGGTTGGCATTCAGCTCTGGCCCGGCGCGGGGGGTAATCTAATTTCAGGTCATCGTCGTCAAATACCTTCTCACCATAAGAACGCCTATCACTTCCCGGCTTCCCTGTAAGCTTGTGACCACCATCCCATCCACTGTTCGAAGTGGCATCGGCGAAATTAGAAAACTGATTTATGGTCTGTTCTCTATTGTACGAGAGGACGTCGCGCAGTACTTTCGTGGAGTGGGGTGGCAAACCCCGGGCAGTGATGAGTGACCACGTCCCGCAAGCGAAGCACGAGTTTACCCACCTATGGGAGTTATGTTTCGAACGCGGATTGAGCTCTAGGTCCATGGAAAAATATAGGTACGGTCTTCATAAGCAATTGAATTTTGGCGGAATTCTTCAATTTTTCGAACCATGCATGTCTGGTCGCTTGGAAGTATTGTACAGCAGATATATGCCCGTTCAGTACCTTTCATCTGAAAGCACTTTGCGTAATAAGTCGTTTTAATTTTTCACCAACTCTTGAATCCAAGAAAACCGTCGAATCAATGAGAAACAATAACATAACAAAAAGGTTTTGAGACAGACTGACACTAAAAGTTATACATACCTATATCGTCAACGTTTTTAGTGTGCCCATGACAGTAAAAACATAAACGATGTTAAGTCGAAGTCTATGAACGGATGGTTTGCCAGTGTTACTGTTGACTATCATTATTGCTGCACGCATTCGCTGTGCATCCGAAGTTTATAACATTAGGGGATGGCCATCTTATGTCATTTAACCCTATAATTCAGTTCCCCTCGACTATCGCATACTCTTCAAAACGATTTCATCGTCCATGAAATCTTGCCCCACGTGCCGCAGCTGAGTTCATGAGTCCGTGACCCTTAGCCGCCCACACGCTTCTCAGTTTCATGATATTTCACTCAGTGCCGGTGAGTCAAAGGCGGAAACCTCGGCGGATTAGTGCCGACAGAGAAGTTTCGAGGTTAATTCAGTTACCGGCAGCACATTTAGTTCAACTTGTCGGGCGAGTCTTTGGGAGACGCAGCTGGTTCGGTCCGTGCAGTGCCACTCGGGACGTGGCGCCGTCAACAGCACCGGATGTAGACAACTTCCACAATGTGCTTTACAAAATGCATAAACACGAGGCCCGGGCCTTTCCCGTGTGAGTTATGGCCATTGTCCGTCCACGGTCTAAGGTGGCAAACGGCTCAGTTATGCCACACCCTGCCTTGAGTCATGGAAGTCTTCACACCCCGGGTATAGGAAATAGGAATTATAGGTGTGTTCGCACACACCTGCCTTATAATTAGGCTGTTTTGGACTTCGGTAAGCTCGTTTAAAATGGTCATTGAAGTTATTCTGATTGTTCATTGGTAAATGTGTTTGCAATTTGCATCGTCTCTGCCTGCGACGTGTCATCGATTGCTCCATTACCGCGATTTATATTTTCCAATCAGAGCGTTTCATATAAAACCTAATTGTAAGAAGACGGCGCATGAAATAATCGACAGCACTTTACACATTATACGAAATGTGTCTTGTTGCGTAATCAGATAAATCAAAGGTCGGTGTAGGTCTAGCATATCAGACGTCGCTTCGCAAGGCAGGTCATAGACCCAGGTTATATTGATGAACTCCAATATCCGGACCATTTGTCATCTCTAGAAAGAATAGGTAGTGGCGGCTGGTAGCTGGAACTTCGGACCTGCGCAGCGCGCATTCATCTTTACCTATCTCAACATCTTCAATATTCTACGTTCATCCAAAATGCCAGTGGCATATACGTATACAGTATCCGTTGGCTTTCGGGCCTATGGTATAGCGGAAGGCGACGAGAACATATGGATACGTTTCATGCCTGAATCCTTGTATGTGTACACACTACACAGTTGGCTGCACTGAAAATATGCAATATCTTACCGGGATTGATCGAGCCCTTTCACCACGTGTTCGGTTCTCGGGGCGATTGTAAATGGAACACGGCTTTGGGTGCACTGAATCAAACACAATTTTAGTGATTGATAGGCCTCGGAAATGCCAGTCTGGCAATGTTGCGCCGTGATATGAAGAGCATGGTCTCGGTCTTACCCTCGGGCCATGGAAAGTAATTGAAAACTTATCCCCCGCCTAACGCGCCCGAAATAAAACACGTCAAGTGAAAATCTCTCGTCATTTCTCCCGCATCTCAGTAGCTCGATCCTAGTTGGTCCCTCTCTCTGAGCTCATAATGGTAACCCATTCTCTTGGTGAGCTCCATATGGTAGCGTCTTCCTTCACCATTCATCAATCTCCATGAGGCCACTAGACACCCTCTCTATCTTCAGACCTCCATATAGTGACCCCTCCCTTCCCAAAACTGCACGGCTGACCTTTTCCCCAAGCTCCACATCTTGACCCTCCGACCCATGTGTAATTATGTATGCATTCATCACTCCCTCCCTCTCTCTCTCTCTCTCTCTCTCTCTCTCTCTCTCTCTCTCTCTCTCTCTCTCTCTCTCTCTCTCTCTCTCTCTCTCTCTCTCTCTCTCTCTCTCTCTCTCTCTCTCTCTCTCTCTCTCTCTCTCTCTCTCCTCTCTCTCTCTCTCTCTCTCTCTCTCTCTCTCTCTCTCTCTCTCTCTCTCTCTCTCTCTCTCTCTCTCTCTCGACCTTCGTGAGGTGGCCGTCCCTCTCTCCCGCTCACCCGTTCCTCTTGAAGTGGTCGATGTTTTCCTGACTACCGTGTTTTGTCCACTGGCCTTTCTGTCTTCCGTGGGCAGTTTTCGTAACCTCCTTCTTTATTGAAGACCAACAGGCAGTGAGTCACCACTTCCAAACCTCCACGTGGTGACCTGTTCCTCCACCTCCATGAGTGACCCCTCCCCCGTCCGTTACTTACTTGTGGTTACTTGTGGTGTAGGACGTATAGCCTCGTTGGGCCCAGAACGTCCAGTTGAATTGTCGTTCCTCGTAAAGTCGTTCCTTCACGTCTTGTGACTTGATGTAGAGACCCCCGTCCGTCCCTCCCCCGTCCGTCCCTGCGGCAGGTGAAGCGCACACTGCGCCACTTCTGGAAGCGGCGGATGGCGGCGCGGCGCGGCTGCCGGCGCCGCTCCAACCGCTCCACCTCGCTCTTCGACAACCCGTCGCTGCTGGATGCTGCACGCCGCCAGTCGAGCGTGGCCGCGCGCCTGCGCACCTCGCTCGACTCACAGATCACGATCGCGCCGCTCGGCCGACGTCGCCAGCCGTCGGCTGCGGGGATCCCCGCCGGCGCCGCCACCGCAGGCTCGTCGTCACCCAACGGAACCTGCTTGTGACCCATCGCCGAAGAGGCGCTCTGACGCCTCCCCAATCCAAACTCGTCTTGTGCTGAGGTCAAAGACGCTGAGATTGTAATTGCTGCAGGCGGTGGAAAGGCCAAAAGCTGTGGTATTGTCATACAAGTGGATGACAAAAGGGTATGACTCAGTGATGTCGGTATTGAATGCGAATGGCGTCGGTGTTGACGTGGAATGGCGTCGGTGTTGGGGTGGAATGGCGTCGGTGTTGACGTGGAATGGCGTCGGTGTTGACGTGGAATGGCGTCGACGCTGAAGCAGAATGGTGTTGGTATTGACGTGGGATGACGCCGGTGTGTATGATAAATGCCGTCGATGTGAAATGGCGTTGATGTTGATGTGGGCAGGCGACATTGATTGTGGAATTGCATTAATGTCGATGTGACAAGGCGCTGATGTTTATGAAATAATGTCGACATTGACGGGAATGACGTCAGCGTTGATGTTGAATGACGTCATGTCGATAACGTCAGTGATGTTTGGCCAGTTGTGATTGGACGGAGGGGCGGTCGGCAGCCGCGCGTCGACCCCGGACGGTCAGGGTTGTGTAGCGGGAACAGTTTTGTAGTGCGCGGTCATATACACAGCGAGGTCAGTTGCCGGCGCGGGGTCCGCCGGCACTCTGCCACACTTGAGTAGTTCGCTCTAGCATCATTTACGTGTCTCATTCATCGTGTCTGCATGTTCATGTACTGTTGAGGCGTCAAACCTAACGTTACGTGGTTGTAAGATACAAGCGTGCCAGTTTTCATCATGCGCCTTCCTTCGTTTATTATTTCTCCATCTTCCTTTGTTTCTAACTTGAACTCCTATGCTTCGTCAGTCAATCGTGTTGTTTCTTCACCGATGAAATTGGAACAACTTCAACACTGAAGTTAGTTTCCTCGTAGTTCTTTGAACTACACAGGCACAATAATTGTCCTCCAAGTTGCATGCTTTTTGTCTTAGTTCTTGAGCACTTGCTGCTGCTTATTCTAAAAGTGGCATTCGTTTCATCATGCTTGTCAATTTTCGAGGTTGTGCAGGTAGAATGTTTTAGCAATCGATTCGCTTTCATGAATAACATAACGGCTTTCAGAAAATAAATGCGCTGGTAAAGTGCCAACATCAAAATACGTGTTTCATACCGATAATAAGGAATCGAATGTTCAACACACATCAAAGGAAAACGTAGGAGCATAAACTTTGTCCGGTAAGAGACTAGAATAGCTGGCCTTGCATTCAGTATCTGGCGAGGACCTCAGGCAATGAAACTTCTCGGCACTTCGTAAACTTCACACAAAACAGAAGTGAGTTCAATGTGTCAATCTATTTCGATGGGACAGCCAACAAGAACTGGCAAATCATATCAACGCGCCGCTGTACCAGGGAAAGGGACGTCGCCGACCTCGCGAGCCACCATACAGCGCAGCGGTCCCGATGGGATCGCTGAATGCCCCGCTCCGCACACCAGAGACCGAACCTCCCAACTGGCAGCAGAGCGCACTCGACGGAATAGAGAAGCGTCCGCAGTCAGTGCAGAAACGAACAGTTACCTCACCGAGTGGCTGGTTAAAAAGACACCAGAAACACTGGACACAAGCCTGGCATTAGTACTTATACGGAAGTCTTCACTGGCACTCCAGCCGGAGAAACGTAATTCGATTAACTGCACGCAATTCGGAAGAATGTCGGAGTAACGCTTCACATCCGGCACAGAAAACAACGCTGAATCATACACACGGTTGCATCATGATCTACCTCCGATTCGAGTTCTGAGCACAGCTCCTAAAATATCTCCTTGGCTCCCGGCCACTCTGAGCGGACTGGCGACGACCACAACACATCCGTCCCTCCGCCGCCAGCCCGACGGCCTTTCAGTTTTATACGTATGCGGGAGGAGAGCCCCAATATGACACTCAGCACGGCACCTAGCGGCGCCAGACGCAACCTGATTCAAGTACCACCTACTCCTCGGGACAGCCACCCTAACAACGTGCCACCCTCGAACCACGACCGCTGCAGTGCCAACGGCGAGCGATTTCCGCCGGAGGCACGCCTGGCGCCAGACGACGAGCTAGCATCACCACACAAAGAAACAAATTTTCAAAATCAAACAAAACAACATTAAACTCACGTCTCCTAGTACGGTTTACATGACAATTAGGTCTAGTGCCTGCGCAGCGTGCGAGCGCCACCTATCACAAGGGCTGGCAAGTTGCGGGTGAGCCGTGCGCGGCAGGTGGCGCTGTCAGCGCGTGGACGGTGGCGAGTCGATGGTCAGCTGGCCGTAGCCCATCAGAGCCGACTCGTCGCGCTCGTGGGGCTCGCAGAAGCCGGCCGTCTGCCGAGCGGCGAACGGGACAGTCAGTTAGAAACAGTGTAAATTTTACGTGCGGCATTTGATCAACTGCGATGTAACCAAGAAGCAGAAGCTACCAGTTTCATAGCTTTTCACACTTACTATGGCGCCTGCTTAATTTCTGAAGTCCATTTCGAAGAAGAAACTCTCTCAGATCCCTCCTATCTATATCAGGACGCACTAAGCTTTGTCCTCTATACCCTAAACCCTAGCTCCAGGCTGCTCAATGGACGGTCACCATCATCCGACGGGGATAGCTTATCAGGAGGTTCACGTATGGTAGCGGCGCACCATAGCTGCCGCCCCGCTCCCCTAAAGCTTAATATCCTGCAGTCCTGAAGTGGTCTTAGTAGACCGAAAGTGCTTAACCCAGCAAAGTCAAACTCAAATCCGAAATCAAGATGTCCAATATGATGATTTTTCACTCTGACTTTACCAAAACAATATGTGAATACTGAGTAAGATTAAAGCTGCCCCAGCATCGCTCCCCCCCCCCCCCCATCCAATAACCCACAGCTGAAAACCACCGGCCGTACCACTGCACAGCCGGTGCCCAGGAGTCAGCCCACGGCCACAGCACACACAGCCGGCCGGGTCACCCCACAGCCACTGGACACTCAGCCGGTAATCTCTCACCCCACGGTCACTACAGCACACACCTAGCCGGTAGCCTCTCACCCCACAGCCACAGCACACAGCAGCTGGCCGGCAGGGCCACCCCACGGCCACCGGACAGCCGGCCAGCAGGGGTCACCCCATAGCCACAGTAGAGAACCGGCCAGCAGGGGTCAGTCCAAGCCCACAGCACACCCAGACGGCCAGTAGGGGTCACCCCACGGCTACCGGACAGCCGGCCGGTAGCCTCTCTCCCCACGGCCACAGCACACCCAGCCGGCAGCCTCTCACCAAACGGCCAGCCCACAGCACACTCAGCCGACAATCTCTCACCCCCGTCCCACGGCCACTCACCAGCGGGAAGGTGAGCGTGGTGACGCGCTGCGGGTCGTCCACGATCGACTGCAGCTTGGCGGCGATGACGATCCGGTCCCTGCCGTCCACCAGTCCGGCGGCCACCAGCTCCTGGGCCACGCTGTCCGCAGTGTCCAGACCGTACTCGTACTCGAAACGGATGTCGTTTAGCTCCCGCTGCTGGTTCCTGCGACCATGAAAGGTTTGTTGGTAGGGTTTTAGGGCACTTTAGGGACACATTTTGCGCCCCAAAAGATTGACAATGTGACGGGGCAGCGATTACCTTCGTGACAGTCCCAGCCATTTTATTCGGTATCTATCATTGCGTCATGAAACATTTGACTAGCTAGAACACGTTCAAACGCAGTCCGGATATCCGGCTAGATACGGCTGACCGCAACTGTCACTTCCCTGACACCCACACATCGTCTCCAGAACCGCTCCAGTGCTACCTACCTCATCCTGAGCACCAGGTCGATGCAGTTTCGGGTCCCGGTGCCCGCCGCCGCCGGCTGTGGGGCCGCACCAGTCGCCGGGGCGGCCGCGGCGGGGGCAGCGGGGGCAGTGGCCGCAGCGGCTGGGGGAGCCGGCGCCGGTGCAGGGGCCGGGGCGGCGGCCGGCGCCGACTGAGTGGAGCTGGCGCCGTCAGCCTGCGGCTCAGCCGGCCTGGAAGTCTGCCGCGGAGAGTGGAGGGGAGGCCAGAGGTCTAACTCGTCACTAACGTGTCTAGCCAGTATTACACCCGACAATCCATCACCGGACTCAGAAGTCTACATCACACTACTACCTTTTTCCTGTCGTACTTTTTTCTGTCAAACTGCCATGCATACGTTTCTGTTTCTGTAATACTGGCGACCCCAAACATCCAACCCTGAGAACTACAGCTGTTTCTCTAACTCACCGGCACTTCGTCGTCTGATTCACTCGACTCTCCCGAGGACCAGACCCAGTTGCCCTCCTCGGTCTTGTGGAACCGGCCCGAGGAGCCCGGCGCTCGCTGCGCCTGTACGGCAGACAGCAGCGTTGGGTTATCAACGGGGGACATGACAGCAGCGCTGGGTTATCGACGGGGGACATGACAGCAGTGCTGCAGTCACCACCAGCACAAAGACACAGGGTCATACCACGGAGAAAGCACGACGGAGGGTTAACTTATCTACATTCTACACAGCGGGTCAGGGTGCGCTGAACGTCCGATCGTTGGTACGGTGTTAAACGAACGAGAGAAGCCATTAAATAGAAAATATAAGTAGACTTAAGATCAACTATTTTCAGACGACGGGAGACGTAACATTTACCGAATAACATCAGTGAATGAATCAAAAGGTACTTAGTACTTACCCTGCCGGATGGTGCCGAGGGCTTGGGACCAGACTGATTGAACATCTGCTGGATGAACTTCTTGTCTTTGGCTTTCTTGAAGAAGGGGTGTTTCAGGAGCTCAGCGGCAGTCGGACTGAAAAGATCCACCGATAATTATCGTTAGCTAATGACAGATGAACATCCCTCTGTATTCAAAGAAGCAGGGGACCAGGGCCACAAGATCAAAACAAAAAGTGCAATGGCTAAATTCATACTACGCCAGTGGCCATTCAATCAAATAAGCTCCGAAAAATGAGTAGGAATGAAAATAGCGAACAAGACGTAAGCCTTCAGCATTCAAAACGCATTCGTCAGTTCCACCTAACTCCCCCACCTGTCCCAGTCCTGTCGAGCGAGCGCTCACCGTTTCGCCGGGTCTTTTTGCAGGCAGTCGCTGACCAGCTTACGGATCGTCTTGCCGTATCCCTTGTACTGGTCCTTGTCCTCGGCGGCTGAGTCGATGGTTGGGGGATCGTTCTACAGGGACGGGAATACGACAGGGTAAATCACAAAGGTCACCAGGGTAAGCCGACAACGCGTACATGTCAGTTATCATCACTAAACGACCACTATGTCCAGCCGTCAGAGACAGAGCTGAACCTCTGAGTTAAAGAGCAACGCCCTCTCCGACAGTATCAGACCAGTCCCCGCGCCGTCACCATTCTCACCTGCAGTGTCAGCATGAGCACCTTCATGGGCGGGTACTTGTGATAGGGCGCCGTGCCGGTCACCAGTTCGATCACCGTGATGCCAAAGGACCAGATGTCCGCCTTGAAGTCGTAGCCCGTCACCTGGCGGGGAGAAATAAAGGAGGTATCAGAATTCAGAACTGTATGCAGCAGACACGTCCTAGCATCAAGAATGTAAGGGAAATCTTCTTATTGGGTAATAAGCCAGCATCTAAGCTAGGACTAGAACATTTCAAGTAACCTGATGAAGAGCATCTGTATGTGCAAAGCATCCGCACAAATCGGCAAGCAAAGACCGAATAAAATAGCAAAAGTATACAAGCTACCACAAAGTCGTCATCTAACCAAATACATACAGTGTAAAAGAAAAAATCTGACCAATCTATACGTAAAAAACGTGCTTGACGAGAACACCCATCGGACCGTTTGCCTGCCAGCCGAGGTGCTGTGACGTGGCCGGCCAAAGGCCGTGCTCGGGCGTCGACCGTCGCCTCACCTGTTCCATGACCTCTGGCGCCATCCAGCAGGGCGTTCCGACGAACGTGTGACGCGCCTTCTCGCGACTGAGGTCGCCGCCGGTGGCCAGCCACGAGCTGACGCCGAAGTCGGCGATCTGGATGCTGCCGTCCTCGCCGATCAGAATGTTACCCGCCTTGATGTCTCTGTAGAGAGAAGGAACACTATCAGCCATAGACCACCATAAATGCTCTATAAATGCACTATAGACCATATAGTATAGGCGACAGGTTTATGAATCAGCATATTCATGGGCTTTGAGATGTGCTGTCGACATTTTGGACCGGTTGTTATATAACACAGACATGGCTCCCGGCAGGATACACCTATTCAACAGCAGACCAAGGATAAAGACACAAAGCACTGCACTGATGAATATGCTCACGGTCAACAATGCCTCAATCTGATGAACATTTCATCCAGAGCACTCGCCTGTGGATCTGTCCGTTGCTGTGAAAGTACTCCAGACCCTTGAGCACCTCCCTCATCACCGTGGCGATGGTAGCCTCGTTGAGCACGCCGTGCTTGCAGTCCTGCGTCTTCATGCGGTGCTTGATGACATCCAGAAGCGACCCGCCTGTAACACGCATGTAAAACACATAAAAAGCTACAATTCGCGTACCTAACTCATACAGACAGGAACGACGCAAATTATGTGAATCGAAGGCATCTATTGTCGATGCATTCGATTACGAAGGGATTGCGGGAAGAGAGGTCAACTAAGCTCGCTCATGCACTCACCATTGAGAAGTTTCAGCACTAGCCACAGCTCCTCCTTGACGACAAAGCTGGTGAAGTATGTGACGACATTGTCATGATGACAAGATGACATGGCAGTGATCTCTTTCTGTAACACAAGATCAAGGAGGTCATGATGTTAAAGGAAATAGTTCACTTTCACGAAATTATTTTTTTTTGCAACGATTTATTATTTTTTTATGTTCAAAATAATCAGCAAAGAAAATAAAACCTTTTTATAACAAAAGATTTTTTCCTATATTTTGATATAGGAAGAACTTTTCAGTTTCTGTAAGGCACACGCGATCCAGTATGAAAAGAGCATGGGTCCCGAAAATTCTTCAGAAACAGAGAAATTATCACAGCCACCGGCATTTGGGCGATCTGCTCGATCTGATAATGCTCCCCTGAATGTCCTAATTGATCAGTACGAGAATTTCTCTAGAGTTCTCGTAGATAATTTCTCTAGTTTCTGAAGAATTGTCGGGACCCATGCTCTTTTCATGCGCAACCAAAGTGTGACGTCACGGCTCTTGCCTGGGCGCAACAGCTGATTGTAGTAATGTTAATCCCCATAGACTAAAATTTTGATGTGAAAATTTTAAGTAATGAGGGCGAACTTGAAGTCAAGATGGGTACCATCAGATGTGAAATATTAAAATCTACTGCCTTGGCAAAAAAAATATATTTTTTTTCGGGCTAGATTTCCCTAAAAATGCCTTAATAAGTTATGCGCCAAAGCTGGCGCACGTAATACAGCCGGCGCATCTCCCTTGAATCATACGCGCCAAGGCCTTAAAACATAACACGCGCGGGCCGCCCCGGTCGGGCTGGTCAGTGAGGCATATACCCTGAGTGAGGCAGTTTTGCAGCTAGGCGTCCTCTTAATTTTTGTTTTACAAAAGCCATGGCATCTGTATTTGGAGTCTGTTCGTATTTTCAAGACGATAACAAGCTTATCCGGAGAGGAGAGCTTGCATTAAAAGCTTCTCATTTGCTTACCTTTGACTATGATCCAGACATTGGTTCGTGTAGAGCCAAGGTTCAAGCTAGCATGAAGAAGAAAGCGTACACAGTGGAGGTGAGTAATATTTGCCTGATAATCATTTTTATAAAATGCGTTGGTATAAAATAATTGTTATATTTTTGTGCTAGTGTACCCATGGTGGTTTCACTGGTAGAAGTGTTTTTTGGAGGGGGTATGACGCTAGGCCGCGACCTGTGGCCCCTTTCTGAGCAAAATCCTGGCTACGTGCCTGGTGTAACTGATACTGATATTTGTATGTTTCAGATTACCGTAGACAAGGAAGGTAATATTCTGGAAACATTATGTGAGTGCCCACGAGGCCAGTCAAAGTGCCACCACATGGCGACTGTTGCACTGTTTTCTTCTCAGAACAGCTCATCTACCAGCAAGGTAAGCATGAAGTTCAGGAGTTGTAATGGTACGGATCTATTTTTGGGATGTGTTGCAGGTTCTGGTTCTTGGCCCCTGCTCTATTGAGTTTCTACTATGTACTTGTATGGTTGCTGGCTTGGTACACACTGCTTGTCATATTAGTTGGTGACTTAAGCATATTAGTTGGTGATTTACCAGGGGAAATAGTTAAGTTATCGCTAATAAAGAGTTAATGACCTCAGCACCTTCCATATGGTACTGACTGATTGTGCCAGTCATTTGCGTGGAAGGTATGGAATGGATTATATGCATTGTGTAGATGATCGGCACCTACAGACACTTCCATTTTTCACAGCCTTGCACTTGGAGCCAGCCAAAAACAGCAAAGGAGCCAGCATCGTCAGTGCCAGCAGATGCCTTCTTGCCGCTAGGGAGCATAGCGGAGATGGACATCGCATGGATGAAGGAAGAGCTGCAGCGCTTAGAGCCATGCCATCTGAGCTGGATCTCAAAGCCATGTGAAGATCAAGACCCACATATCAGATATCTGGACGTTTCAGAGTGTTGTGTGAGTTGTCATTGATTTTTGCTTTGCAACAGACATTAGCCAAACTAGGAAGGATATTATTTGATGTTAGTTTAGGTGCACACACCAGCTACATTGCACCTACCTTATAAACCTTTGAATTGTCAATGTAAGAACAAATTATTGATGAACCGTCGTTAGGTTTTGGTCTGTGCAATGGAGCCGATGTTAGATACTGTACATTTTCATGTATGACCATTTATCCAAGTGAGCACTCCTCCCCTCCCACCCCTAGTTCTGTCAGTGGCACTAGGCTCGTTACTGTGACGAGTGCTTTGCAGATTAACAGTTAATCCCAAACTTGAAGATAAATTGAAACGATTCAGGGTTTTGGCTGCTCAACTTACCGTTATGGTCAATTTGTTTATATTAAAATTGGACTCGCCTTGCATTTTCAGGCTACGGTTGGCTACAACAGTCTTGGTGCTGAAGAAATCGCCGTCATAGAGCGCGCAACGAAGGGCCAGCGCACCAACCCCAACTGGAGTCGCGCCCGAAAAGGGCGGCTCACGGCGAGCAACTTCGGAGCGGTGTTAAAAGTGAGAGGACGAAAGCCTTCGGCGTCCCTGCTTAAAACGCTGACCGCGGGGAATTTCCTAGGGAGGGTTGCTGCTATTCAGTGGGGCGTGACCCACGAGAAAGACGCGATCGAACTATTTGAGAAACACTTTGATGTGAAGGTAGACCAGTCGGGAATATGGCTACATGAATCGGGGGTGCTCGGAGCATCACCAGATGGTATGATCGGTGCTTCCGAGATCATCGAAGTGAAATGTCCCTTTTCTGCACGGGGTGGCCTCTTCAAAAAGATCGATGAGGGGAGTTTCTACATAAAACGCAGTACTGAGGCAGTGGATGAAAACCAAGAATACTACCTGGATGCTACGTGTGACCCTGGCTCCGCATACTACCACCAGGTGCAGGGGAATCTATGCCTGACTGGTCGGGATGTGTGCCATCTGGTAGTGTGGGCGCCGGGCGAAATGGTTGTGGTCACCGTTCGTAAAGATCCGGCTTGGGCGCAAAACCTCGACACGCTCATTGCATTCTTTGATGAGCATATGCGCCCTGATAGGACCGTGACCAGGGCGAACAGTCCGCTACTGTTATGTGTTTTACGTGAGGGTGAACCTAGCGAGGAGTAGAACGCAGAAGGCGCTGTGAGGCGCCTTTCCTTTCTCGCAGCTTCCACATTGTTAGCTCCCTCGACTGGTGCTCAGGGATTCGGTTGTGATGTAACTGACATATGGCTGTGGAGCAATACATATAACAAACATGGTATCACGTTGTCTATGGTATGTTACGGTACCTCATCCACCAAAAGCGATCGCCTCCTCTGATTTAGCCTCTTTCCATAAGGAAATCTTCTGTCAGCCATTAACACAGAACATTGACCTCTTATGTATTTTTAGCGAGCCCGAGTTGCATGTAATAGGCAAAGCATTACAGCGGTTACTGGTTACCGCGCGCGCCCATAGACACACGCGCACACACGCAGCAATGTTTAGCATTGCTCTGATACGAGCGATTCAGAGAACGCCTTAACATACATCGCAATTCGTAAACGTGGCAAGTTCATTATCCAAAGACCTCGAACGCACACAGGGGTTCACCACGCATCAATGTTCAACGCAAACGGGCAATAAACACAACAAGTGCTCTGACGAATAAGCATTTCCACTAAGTCAGGCTCTTTATGATAGGTACAACGCAAGCTGTCACTGATGAATGTACAAAATGATTTACATGTGCCTAGACTAGATTCGCCTCTCATTACACAAAACATAGCAGCAGTTCACCGAACTGGTCGTTTCGCCTACAAGATCTCGTTCCTAGATTCGCAGCCGTCATGCGAACTACAAAGATGACGCTACTTCCTGGATGATGGGTCTCTGCAGGTTGACGAGCCAACTGCAAACCTGAAATATTGTTGTTATGGATGATTTCAGGAAGTGAGGAACGTGTCGGAGGATTTCGTAACCTTTGATACGTTCGATGGCCCGCTCCACATGGATGCGGGCTCGAGCTATTTCGGTGGTAACGCGGTTTTCACTGGGAGTGAACTGTTTGTGAACAAGCCGCGGAGGAACGTTCAAGTGAACACCAGGTGGAAGGATATCGCGAATCAAAAAACCTTTGTCTGCCACGATGAAATCGCCAGGACGCAGCTGCGTCAGGATACCGCTCCGAAGAGTGATTTCTTTGTCAGATGCAGATCCCAAATACAGGTCACTCACAAACACGATGGATCCATTTGGAGCAACTCCTATCAGGGCCTTGTAGGTGTTCCTCTGCTTATAATGACTGTATGAACTGCTTTGCTCCGCCATATCTCCTCTAGGAACATCACACTCTATCTCAGTACAGTCCAGGACAACCCTGGTGTTTGGGAACTCGGCGAAGCATGCTGGGAGCGACGCGTTATTCTTCTGCACTGATGGCATTTCTGGCCCATGGAGGGCTTTTAAAATCTGATGCAAAGCGCAGATGCACGTGCGAAAAACGTTGGAAACGCTCGTTTCCGAAATATCGAACCTGACTGCCAGGTCTGGGTTTTTTGGGTTGTGTCTCAGTTTGTACAGAGTGAGAAGGAGTTGGTCAGCTAATTCCAGCACACCTACGTTCCACTTATAAACGTATGTCATGGGAAAACGCTTCAGGCAGTCAACCAGAAAGTCAAACTTCTCCTGTGGTAGCCCCGTATAAAATGCTACAGCATCGCTATCACCTCGAATCTGAGCGTAGGAAAACCGAGAGGCTTCTGCACTGCCTTTTGCCTCACCCTTCTTCAGCTCCTCTTTCAGCAGGTAGTTCTCTGCCTCGTTGACCACACATGTCGAGCACTGCTTGCCAGCATCAGCAGCTACCTTCACCTCCATGGTGCTGGCATCAAGGTCAGCCTCAGACTGCTGTGCTGCATCCTCTGCCGATTCAGCTTCTTTTTCCACCTTCCGCCTGAGAAGGGAGAAAGTGAATTCAAACCATGAATTCCCATAGCATAGGAACATAGAAACATTTACCTGCAGTTGGTGGTAAACTGGGACATGTGGGCGCAATATTGGTGTTGATGACCATTAACAAATTACTCAGTGGAGGACATAGGTGCAAGTATGCTAACAATGGCTACACAAAGGTAAGGATTCAGCAGTTCACATTCCACCAGTTTCATTTAATTTTCATTTGGAAACTTTCCAATAAGATGTTCTGCTGCCCTGAATGTGTCAACAGTTTGCTGAAAACAACCATGTGTAACCAATTGCAACCTGCAAGCCAACACTGTATATTTATTTGCTTTAATCTTTATCTTTTGATCGTGTCACATTTGGTTACCTACTGTAGCAGAGGCGGATCCAGCTCAGAGTTTTTTTTTGAGGGGGGGGGGCAAACCATAACAATTTATCAATTCTTTCCATGCCTCATCCATAGGCAAAATGTTAAAATTATGCCGTTTGGGGGGACAAATGCCCATTTGCCTCCCCCCCCCCCCTGGATCTGCCACTGTACTGTAGAATCCATCACCCATGTTTACATCATCAACTTCACTTAAAGCACTCATTTTTTCCCTTGATAAAAGGGGTGAACCACAAATCAAGGGGATGCATATTTTGTGCATTTAAATAAATGTTTTAATGCAAAGAATCAACATCAAAAGGCATCTAGGATAGGCATCATAGCATACAACTGAACGTGAAATGCCCAATGGTTAATAAATTGCGGACGTATCTCAATGACATTTATAAACTAGGCGAACCAAATAAAAATAAATTTACATCAAGTTCAAATGTGGGTAAAACAATCAATACATTAATGGCATGGAACAGTGGTTGATGCCATTCAGCCCAGTGGCTAAGGTATCCTAAATCACAAGGCATCATCCTGAAAATGGATGATGAAATGCATTAAAGCTTAAGACTGCATGCTAGATGGAGCCGAACCTTTTACTCTTCTCAGGTGAAGAATATGAGAACCTCTTCTTTCTGTTCCAGTCAAAGATGGTTGGCCCATGCTTTTTCTCTCCATTCAGAAAGTGGCATGCACAAAGACGTGCATCTGATGGCGCTGCACGGTCTGCTCGCCTGAAATAAATATTTTCCATATCAATATTATCCAATGTGTTCATAAACAGCTAACAGCACCCATCCACACTTCTTACTTTACTTTGTGACAGAAATTGACAGAATGATCATTCCTTCTTTGAATACAAATGCTTAGGTATGTGGATCACATTCAAGTGATGTGTTACATTGCATGTCAAAATCTGATCTGCTTACCTGCAGCTCTTTTCCCACTTTTTGAACTTGACAGGGTCCTTCGGAAACCTGAAGAGAGCACAGCTATCTTGCACAGACCGATGATTGCAGTTGGGTGCAAAACACGCTGGCATGCTGATGGCATTGACAGCTCAATGACCAACTAGATACCTATGTGCCAGTTGCTTGATCTAAAGCTACGTCAATTATGATTACTTAATTGACCTTAAATGGCTTTTATAATATGATGAACCTGAAACAAACACACAGGCATACATAAGAAATGAAATGATGATAATCTCTGACCCAAAACTCCTTTTTGTCAGCTGTTGGTAAACATTGTTACAAATGCATTCTCAACGATTGTAGGTTAGGTACCTACCTACTTGTTTTCCAACCCATTTCAAACATCAATGATGTTAAAACAATGGAATGGAACAACTCCTAACATTTGAAAATATTCCTGAAATAATTCCACTACATTCCCAGACCAGATCTAACACTCAAGTAAAAGAGACAGTACCAAACCAACACCACAGCATGACCCCGTTCTTACAAGCAACACTCAAAACTAGTCACATTCCAATCGTCATTCCTCACAAATGAGCTCGGATGAAATGAAGAAAATAATTTATTGACAAGCCACAACGAATGAGGAAGCAATGCAACAGATTTTCCAGCGCGAAACAAATCTCCTAACATGGTAAAAAGAATTGCAAAGACACCAACACTCACCTACCGGATCGGCGCCGTATGGTGGCGTCGCGCTCCTCGGTTTGTTTGTGCCCAGCAGCTGACTGCGCCGATAAATGACGTCACGACTTTGGATGCGTATACTGGATGGAAATATATGCAAGGCACACATCCTCAACGCAAGACACCTTTTTCGGGACGAGAAATAGAATATCTTTGCCTAGGGTGATCGTTGGGCTGTAAAAGCTCCTGATTTATGCTCGTCTCAGCCCAAGCTACGGAGCTGCTATTCCAGTTCAAAACCCATGTTAAAAAGTGAACTATTTCCTTTAAGGCGAGAGATCGTTTTATCAAAAGCTTCAAAAGCGATCAAAAGTGACGATCTACTAGTGAATCCATTATTATAACACGACGCCACATGGCCAAGGATAGATACCACGATGAACATTTCAAGACGTGCATTTACTGCATCAGTCAATTTACATAAGTCATGAACATACCATTGATTAAATAAACTTACCAAAAGTTCGTCCATACTTGTGTTCCATTTTTCCAGGTTGATTCGTTTTATTGCACATTTCTCTTGTCTCGGTATGCATAGTGCCTCGTGCACCGCCGCAGTTGCACCGACGCCTGGAAAAATCACAATTGTTTCAGGGTTACATATTGGATTTGCAACATAAATTGGGGAAGCTGACCTATACCCCACCCTATTCTGGGGTTTGGAACAAAAGGATATGTGCATGGTAATGCTAACTGCAAACAATTAGCATTACTTGAGCTAGGTAACCTGTGTTGTAGTTCATGAGCTAACACCATAAGGCAGTGGCTCTCAGAGCACTAAGCAGGCATGTGTTTGGGAGTGAGAATAGTAGTGGAGTTAAGATGGCACAAAAGGAGATTATCCAATTAATTTATGAAATGGATCACGATCTATGGTGTTTGAGTAACAGGTAATAAATAAGGAGCATCCAAGGTATTCTGAGACATGTCATAATGACAGAGACAGGCCTTATTGGGAGTAAATGAACCCCAAGAGGCAAGAGGGAATAAGGTACTATTCTGTACCTACTAAAAATTCAGTCAATAGGTATAACATTCAGCAGTTTTTGAATGTGTAAAACTATAATTGGCATTTCCAAACTGAAAAGAGAAGTCCTACAGTAAGAATATTTGAGGCTAGAACTTAGCACTACTCATGTAGTGTATTGTGCATAAGTTGAATTTGACACAATTATACTGGTCCATTCAGTGTTGTAGCCAAAAATTGTGAGTCAGGCCAAACATATCAAATCTAGAAAAAGAAGGTAACTCAGGCCATATGTT